AGGCAATCCACTCACCTCAGCCTCCCAAAGTGCCGGATTACAGGCTGAGCCACTGAGCCCAGCTCAGATGAGGTTTGACTAATCATCAGCATGGCAGGAGTCAGAGAAAGTTAAAGTCAGTGGAGAATCATAATCGATCTGCAAAAATTTAATTTACGTGCAATTTCTCAGGAACATGTCTCGTGGTTGAAACCAAAGGCTCATGTATCCTTGGCTTTCAATGGAGTTGCCAGTAGGCCTGCACAACAGGCAAGAGGGGGGTGTGTGGAACATGGGAAGTACCACAGGCTTCCATAGCCCTCAGTCATGGAAGGGAAAGGGGCACATTCTTGAGATTCCACATATAGCATGTAAGTTTCCTTTCCCCCAAAGACCTGTGCTGATATAATCATATGGTTCTCAATGAGAGCAAAAACGATGAGAGAAAAGGTTCCTTTCCCTCCGATTGTGTGAGTGGATGTTTGGTGTGTGTGTATGTGTGTATACACTGCCAGTTGGCACTGTCTCTGGTTGTGATGTTCCCCTTACCAAGTGTCAGGGCTTTACATGGCTACCCATTTCAAATACCTTTTTCTTAGACTATGAGATAAGTTATATTGAATGAATGTAAAAATTCTTTATCAGTACTTAGGAATTAATTATTCCCCCAAGTCCTTTTGTATCCAATTAGAAAAAAGGAGGTGCAATCTTTTTTTTTTTTTTTTTTGAGTTGGAGTCTCACTCTGTCGCCCAGGCTGGAGTGCAGTGGCACACTGCTCGTGGCCACCTCAGTCTCGACCTACTGTGAATCCAGGCGAACCTTCTGCCTCAGCCTTCCAAGTAGCTGGGGCTACAGGTGCACACGACCACGCTCACCTAATTTTTCTTGATTTATTGTAGAGAGGAGGTCTCACCAAGTTGCCCAGGCTGGTCTTGAACCCCTGGGCTCAGGCAGTCCTCTCACCTCAGGCCTCCAAAATGCTGGGATTATAGGTGTGAGCCACCACACCTAGCCAGGTACAATTTTATTTTGAGAGCTGAATGAACTTGGAATAGTAGAAGGTGGTAGGACCAAGCTGACAACATATGTGAACCATGAGCCCAGGGCTTTTCAAAATGATTGAGGAAAAGGGGAGTGAGCAGGAAGCAGTAGGAAAAATCTTTAGGCCTGAGTGGAAGCCGGATACCTGCCTATGATTCGAGCTGAAATGGCTTACCTGGAGCCCAATGGTCAACCGTCGGCCCTCAAGTGTGACAAGAAAAAACTTTCCATTACACATTTTATTGATGCTGTGATTAAAAGAATGCCACATCCTGGAAAAGACCTAAACTATTACCACGTGGAGACACATGAGGGCGCTCTAACCAACTAGCAATTGTGAAACCCAGAAAAACTGCACAGGTTTCAACCTGAGGAATGGGGCTTTTGCAGGCCCTTTGTGACGTGAATTCGGGCTTCCACCCTGGAGCAAGCTGCTTGCCTAGGCCCTTAAAATAGCTGCAAGGAAGGAGGTAATTTTTTCAAGAGTAGTTGGCATCTGTAATATGTAAAACCTGGAGTCACAATCTCTTAGAGTTTTGTCTTTTTTTTTTTTTTTGAGTCGGGGATTGCAGTCTGTCACCCAAGCTAGAGTGCAGTGGGGAGACCATAGCTCAACGCAGCCTCAACCTCCTGGGCTCAGGCGATCCTCTCTCTTCAGCCTCCTGAGTAGGTGGGACTACAGGTGCACGCCACCATGCCTAGTTGATTTTTTGATTTTTTTGTAGAGATGAGGTTCTACTATCTTGCCCAGGCTGGTCTCAAATTCCTGGGCTCAAGCAATCCTAGGTGTGAGACACCATGCTCAGCGTTTTTTGTTTTTGTTTTTGTTTTGAGTCGAGTTCTTGCACTGTCACCCAGGTCTC